GAATACAGTTTTCAAATAAGCTCATTTGGGAATCACTGACTGAGTGAAAGTAAAAGCGTTGCTGTAGTCCTTCCACCACATCTTACACAAAGTCAGCTTTATGCCTGACACACTGATCAATTGGGAGACAACTTGTCCTTTCCTAAGTGGTCTTTTTCAAACGGACTATAAGACGTTAATTTTTCCCTTGCTCTTTGGGTGAAATTGGAGCAGACCCTCCTGATCTTTTTGGTTTTTCTTAAATTGTAAAGTAGTCCAATGAATTCTAGGTGTGTGCCTGTTTCATTTCAGCAATCAATGTTTCATCCCAGGTACTGGTTGCAACTCTGTTATGAATGTAGTAGTAATGGTTCTCCCTTGCCCCAGCCCAGGCCCATGTCAGGTAGGAAGCTAGTGAGAGTAAGGGGCATATAACCAGGTTTCTCCTCCAGGCTCCTCTGCCCACAGGGCCAAAGGGGGAGGGGAGGTAGGAGAGGCAAGGACCTATATATAGCGCCCTGGTTCTGATTCTTCAAGCCTTGGAGTCTTCTCTTGGGATTCTTCGAGTTTGTCAGCACTCCCCCCTTACTCACCTCTGACCTGCATACCTTTGACAGAGACAATATCCTTGCCTTTGCATAGCTCTTGCTCTTTTCTTTTAAAATCTTGTCATCATCATTCAACAAATACTGATTGACCACTCCCAACAAAACAGTCTTTGTCTTCATGGAGGTTAAAATCAGTTGGCGATCCCAAGAGTAGTGTCAAGAGTGGAACTGTACTCCACAAGATTTTCAGTGGCTGATTTTTTGGTCACCAGGCCTGTCTCCTAAGGGTGTGGACTTGAACTTTCAACCTATTGGTTATCAGCCAAGCATATTAACCATTTGTACCCTCCAGGGACTCCTTTGTGGAACTTGCATTCTAACCATAACCATCCCTCTTGTTTACTGAGTGCACATTAGATACTATGCTAAGTAGTTTATGTATACTATCTCATTTAAGGTACTATACATATTACCTTAACAATAGTGAGGTTGGCCCAGGATCAGGCAATGTTTCCTTCTGCTGTGCATAAGGTCGCTATGTGTTGGCACTGACTCGATGGCAGCTCACAACAACAACAACAACAAACCTCATTTAAACTGTTACCAGCGTTATGGCTATTCGTTCCGTCCACCTTACAAATGAGGACACTGAGACTTAGAAAGATGATTAATGTATCCTGCTGCCAGCTCTTGATGCCACCATTGGGTTTTGGCAGATTGTCTTTATAGAACTCCATTATTCTCCAGGTGGCTCTCATGGTTAAGTCCATCCAAGATGGCTTCATATAAACATATGATCCACCCTAGAATACCAGAAACACTAGCTCGCACATCTTTTCTTCTCATAAGTTCTGGCAGTACAGGCCATCTGCATGGTGGCTCCTCCTCATACCCACACATCTGAGAAGCCATCTGGCCATGGTCCTGTGATTTTATGCTTTGCTTTGGTTTGTCCAGGCATGGGTCATTGAGTCCTTTGTTCTTGTAGAGATACAGGTTCAGATCTTGAAGTGGTTTTCATTAAACCTCTCTTGCTCATCTTGAAATGAAGATTCCCTCTTCTTCATACACACACACACACACACACACACACACGAAGGAATTCACAAAGACATGCCCATATTTCTACCTCCCTTGGATGAGCTATTCAAAATGTCTAGGTGGTGTACATTCAGAATGTCTAGGTTGGCCCAGGATCAGGCAGTGTTTCATTCTGCTGTGCATAAGGTTGCTATGAGTCGGTACCGATTCAGTGGCACCTAACAACAACAACAGGTGGTGCACATGGCTAATTCACAGCTGTTAACCGAAAGCTCAGAGGTTTGAGTCCACCCAGAGAGGCCTTTTGGGAGAAAGCTGTGACGATCTGCTTCCTGAAAACCAGCCATTTTGAAAGCCCTATGGAGCAGAGTTCTGACACACGTGGGGGTGCCATAGTTTGGTGTTGACTCCATGGTAAGTCACTTTTGACCTGTTTAACCACTTGCACCTACTGAAGGTGCCTTCTTAATTAAGGTTCCCTAAACTAGATTTCTAAGGAGCTCTGGTACCATATTGGTTACGAATTGGGCTGCGAACCTTAAGGTCAGCAGTTCAAAACTACCAGCCACTCCGTAAAGATTTACAGCCTCGGAAACCCTGTACAGGGTCACTATGGGTCGGAACCAACTCAACGGCACGTAACAACAACAACAACAACAACAACAACAACAACAACAACAAACTATAGATTTCTAAACTAGGAGTCCTGGTGTGGCACTGTGGGTTAATGCACCAGATTGCAAAGCCGTTTGAACTGCAAGGTCAGTGGTTCAAGGTCACCAGCTGCTCCTTGGAAACCCTATACAAGGTCACTACGGGTCGGAATCGACTTGATGCCACTTAACCACAACAACAAACTAGATTTCAGTCAGTCATGAAACAGGACCCTCATTGAAACTTCCTGCTATAATGAAGTATCTAGGAATGGCCAAGTATGTGTATGAGATAAGATGTTAAGGAATAAGAATGAAAATTCTAGAATTCGTTAAATTTTGAGATGGGTCTCAGCAAAACTTGCAAATGCTTTCTCCATTTCTTCTTTCAACTCCTCCCTAGTTCTCCATCTTTTAAAGACTGTATGTTGAAGATGCTGAACATGTAACATTTCATTAAAACTTCTACAATCCTCTTTGCTTCCCTCTCATTCTCCTACCTCCTTGTAACAGAGACTGTAGGACTGAAACCAAATAGGCCTTATGTATGTTTTGGAAATCAGAGGAAATTCCCTGTGGTATCTTTACCGGCTCAATTATAAAAACAACAATGAATGTAAATTATTTTCATGCATCATTGTTGATAGTGAATCTTTCAAAGACTGACACTTTTAGAGACCAAAGCACCGAAGAATTATTTCAATGGAATCTTTATAATCTACACATCTAGTTTGCATAAACATTGAGAGAAATGCCTAAGTAGTAATTCTTAGATGATTGTTGAGGTGTGAAGATTTCTGGCCCCAAATTATTTTAGGTTCCTGAGAGACCAAGCAAATGACCTAGCATCCATATTTTTCTCTTCAACTGATTCCTAGTGAATTACTAACTAGGCAGTTTTCATTGTACTTCTAAGATACTAGGTTATAAAGATACACACTTGTTCAGTGATGAGACTCCTGGGGGAATCCTGGATTTTGCTACTTAAACATAGGATAGTAGAGTTAAAGAAGAGAAACAATTTACACATCATTGATCATCTGCTTTATTAAGGCAAGGAAGCATGCTCAAGCAGGAAGAATGTTCTAGAATTAAATAGACAAGTGCTATTTCTTGTCATTTAGTATGACCCTCCAAGTATGATTTCAATGTAAGTGAAAACCCTTATATTTACTTGATTAAAGTATTAGGATTGTCCTCTTTGTTCAGGATCTTGGCCTTAGTTTTTCAACTTTCTCTTTTAATTAATTACATTTTTTCAAAATGTCTTATTAAGAAAACTGGTTATGTTTTCATTTCCAAGGGCACAAACATGTTAAGGAAATTTATGTTGTAGACTGATCAAGTATTAATTAGTCTCCAATGGCTGACATTTCAGCTTCATATTCAGTTTTCACCTTCTTGCCTTTTCCTTCCGCTCTAGGTGGAAGCCAATCAGAAGCTGAAGTCAGGCAGAAGCAACAATGGCAGCTGATGCAATCTAAATACCAACAAAAGGTCAGAATCCAGCGCTATGGGTTTAATTTTGGCGAGGAAATGGAGTAGTAACTGTGAAATGATAAAGTTACTTTACTGAAAGCTTAAAACCTTTAAACCAACTGTAAAAGAGAAACTCAAAAATCAAAGAAGTCAGCAGGGGCCAAGTGAAAGAAGGGATGTTGCTATTTGCTGTTAAATGCCGTCGAGTCATTTTCAACTCATAGTGACCTCGTGTAAGGTTTCAGAGGAGTGGCTGGGGAGTTTAAACTGCTGAACTTGGGTGCAAACTGACCTTGAGGTCAAGCTCTTATTCTATAGCACCACCTCAGGACTCCCAAGTGAAGAGATGTTCTTCTTGTGAAGTGTCATAGAGTCAGTTCCAACCCATAGCGACCCTGTATAGGGTTTCGAGGAGCTGCTGGTGAGCTTGAACTGCTGACCTTGCAGTTCAAACAGCTTTGCAGTCTGGTGCATTAACCCACAGTGCCACACCAGGACTGGCTAACTAGAATTCCATTCAAGCTATACGTCAGTCAGCAGGACCCTTGATGAAAGGGAATGCACTTTTTTCTTCTACTTTAAATGAACTCTCTACTTTGTGTTGAATGTTTTGGTTCCTAGGATGTGGATATTGTTTATTCCATGCCAGTTGTGGAAGTATTTTAAGAATTATTTAACATGTTCAGTAATTTTTATAATGAAAACTATAAGTTTTGTAATCAGGACATGTTATTTAGACTTCTCTCTCCCAACTGAGGGAGAGACAGGGAGAGGGTGGAACAGAAAGAAAAAGGAAGAAAGGGAGAAAAAAAGAGGGAAGAAGGGAGAGGTGGAGAGAAACCTACACTGGTATAAGAAAAGCAGAGAGAAATTTCATGGACAAGGAACGTATGTAGCCCAATCGTTCTCTGTGACCTAAATGGAGTTGAAGTAACAACCTATAATCAATGGTGAGGTACAGCACAAACAATACTGCAATTTGCCTTTCATCATAATTTTGTGCTCCAGAGATTCAGACTGAAAAAAAATGGTAACTGGTTTTTATCCTCTGTAATTTCAATGCAATTTAGCTAAAAAGAGAAGAATCTATAAGGATCAAGAAGGAAGCCGAAGAAGCTGAAATCCAAAAAATGAAGGCAATTCAGAGAGAGAAGGTAAGATGAGAGGATGACCAGCTAACATCTACTGAGAAGTTACTGTGTGCCAGGGTCTCTAGCAGGCACTATCCATTTATTAACTCATTACTAACTCATTTCACCCCCACAATAAAAACAACAACAAAAAAAACCCATAGCTAAACCGTTGTCACTGAGTTGACGCCGAATCATGGTGACCCTAGGTATGTCAGAGTAGAAGTGTGCTCCTCCATTGTTGTTGTTAAGTGCTGTCGAGTCGGTTCCGACCCATAGCGACCCTGTACAGGGTTTCCGAGGGTGTAAATCCTTACGGGAGTAGAAAGCCTCATCTTTCTCCCGCGGAGCGGCTGGTAGTTTCGAACCGCTGACCTTAAGGTTCGCAGCCCGATTCGTAACCACTACGCTACCAGAGCTCCTTTATAGGGTTTTCAAATGGTTGAGGTTTCAGAAGTAGATGTAGACCTATGGAGCACACTTCTACGCTGGCCTTGAACCTCCAACCTTTTGGTTAGCATCCAAGGATGTCAACTGTTTGCACTGCCCAAAGACTCCACCCGTACAAGAACCCTACCTATGAAATATATATTATTGTTTCTAGATTTTATCATTGAGGAAACAGACAAAGAAATAGTAGATAACTATTCCAAGGGTACCCATCCAATGAGCAGAAGGACTTGAATTTGAACCTAGGTAAACTGGTTCCATCTCGTTGGGGGTCTTCTCTCTGACCCTCCACCTTACGTAACATGATATCCTTCTCCAGCGAGTGGTCCCTCCTGACAATATGTCTGAAGTATGAGAGACAAAGTTTGGCCATCCTGTCCTCCAAGGAGCACTCTGGCTGCACTTCTTCCAACACAGATCTGTTGGTTCTTTTGGCAGCCCATGACACTTTTAGTATTCTCCTCCAACACCATAGCTCAAAGTATCAATTCATCTATAGTCTTCCTTTTTCACTGTCCAGCTTTCGCATACATATGAGCAAAGTGGCAGCATCAATGGGCTCAAGCGTGGCAACAACTGTGAGGTTGGCTCAGGATCAGGCAGTGTTTCATTCTGTTGTACATAAGGTCGCTATGAGTCGGTACTGACTCGATGGCACCTAACAACAAAATGGTCCCAGGGGAGCTCTCAGTCATCACACTGTCTCATGTCTCAGGTGAGTAATCAGGATAGTAGTATGCCTATTCTGGCCAAAAGACAAAGCCCTGAGTAATAAGGGCAACCAGTGATGCACCACTGTTCTGTCATCCAAACACGTCAGGGTGAGTGGACATAGACAGAGCCGTTTGCTTTCTGATACACAAAAGAGCCTGCGTTTGCATTTCAGCACTAGTGATGTGACCTAGTCTAAACCTCTAAGTTTTAAGTTTAAGGTTTTTAACCTTGACAGATTATTGAATTGCAGCATCTTAGCTGTAGGCTCAGCACTGGACTACGAACCACAAGGTTGACAGTTCACACCCACCAGCTGCTCCTCAGAATCCCTATACAGAGTTGCTACGAGTTGGAACCGAGTAGGCGACACTTAACAACAACAACAATCCTAAGAGTGAGGGCCCCTGATAGCATAGTGAGTTGTGAGTTGGGCAGCTAACCACAAGGTCAGCAGTACATATCCACTAGTCACTGCAAAGGAGAAAAATTAGGCTTTCTGCCTTTGTAAAGATTTAAAGCCTTAGAAATGCTATATAGGGTTTTGCTATAAGTCAGAACTTACTCAACAGCACACAACCACCTAATTCCTAAATGTAACTATTGGTGTTGTCAGGTGCCATCGAGTCGGTACCGACCCATAGCGACCCCATGCACAGCAGAACGGAACAATGTCCGATCCTGGGCCAACCTCACTACTCTCGCCCCACTTGAGTCCATCGATGCTGCCACCTGGCCAATCCATCTCATTGGGGGTCCTCCTCTTTTTCTCTGACCCTCCACCTTACCAAACATGATATCCTTAGTTGTTGTTTAATGACCACAACTAGCTTGTTTGTTATAGTTCATTTCTTCATGAGTCAAATAATGTATTCTTGTCAGGAAAGTCCTGGTGTGGTGCTGTGCGAGAATGCACTGGACTGCATTATCTGTTTGAACCACAAGGTAGGTGGATCACATTCACCAGCTACTCCTTAGTGAGTCAGAATTCACTCGACAGCACTTAACAACCACATCAGCATTCGGGAGACAGACTGACACTGTGACTGTAACAGCGGTCTCATTGTTGCAGGACTGAGCTGTGTTTCATTCTGTTGTACACTCTGGACCATAACAACCATTTAGGTAATGGCTGAAAACATTGTTAGCACGGAATAATAGCACATTTCCGCCCCGTCCCCACCCATGCCTTTCCAAGTTATACCATAATACTAAACAATAAACACAGAAATCTTGATTGGATTGACTTGTCTAACATGATGACTATAATGATTGTTAGTACAAATATGCCCACAAGTGACAGATGGGGGTGGGAGAGTTGCTATATTAAACTAGTTTCCATCAGCTCTGACTCAAAGGAGTGTGTCAAAGAAGAATTGCCCCATAGGGGCTTCAAAGGCTGATTTTTGGGAAATGGGTTGCCTGGCCTTTCTTCTTTCTTCTCAGAGAATCCAGGGATAATGTTCTTGTCCCTTTCTGTTTAGTTATTTCTGACTCAGGCGACCCCACATGTGCAGAGAGGAATTGCTCCGTTAAGGTTGTCAAGCCTGTAACCTTTAGGAAGTAGACCATCTGATCTGTTTTCTGAGGTACCACTGGGTGGAGTTAAGATGCCAAACTTTCAGTAAGTAGTCAAGTGCTTAACAGTTTGTGACACCCTAGTTGATGTGTACACCTTGCTTTTCAGATGTGCTTCTTGGCCTCTCAGCATAGGCATGATTTGGAAATGCAGACTTAAGGGCTTTGCACCAGACCTTCTGAATTCAGAATCTACATCTTAACAGGGCCCCCGGGGGATTCTTGTGAATGTAAAAATTTGAGAAGCAGTAATCCGTTATGGTGTTGGAGGAGAATATTGAAAGTGCCATTGGCTTCCAAAAGAACCAACTGATCTATGTTGGAAGAAGTGCAGCCAGAGTGCTCCTTGGAGGCCAAGGTGGCCAAACTTCGTCTCTCATTCTTCAGACGTGTTGTCAGGAGGGGCCAGTCGCTGGAGAAGGATATCATGTTTGGTAAGGTGAAGGGTCAGAGAAAAAGAGGAAGACCACTAGCGAGATGGATTGGCAAAGTGGCAGCATCAGTGGGCTCAAGCATGGCAACAATACTGAAGTTGGCCCAGGATCGGGCAGTGTTTTGTTCTGCTGTGCATAAAGTCTCTGAGTTGGTACCAACAACAATAACAACAACCTACTGTTAAGGAGAGCTCTGGTAGCGTAGAGCTCTGGTAGCGTAGTGGTTACGAATCGGGCTGCGAACCTTAAGGTCAGCGGTTCGAAACTACCAGCTGCACCGCGGGAGAAAGATGAGGCTTTCTACTCCCGTAAAGATTTACACCCTCGGAAACCCTATACAGGGTCGCTATGGGTCGGAAATGACTCGATGGCACATAACAACAACAACAACTGTTAAGGAGCTCTGGTAGTGTAGTGGTTACGAATCAGGCTGCTAACCTCAAAGTCAGCAGTTCAAAACTACCAGCTGTTCCGTGGGAGAAAGATGAGGCCTTCTGCTCCCGTAAACTCTGTACATGGTCGCTGTGAGTCAGAACTGACTCCACGGTACATAACCACCAACACCAACACCAATCTCCTGTTATCCATAAGGTTTCCAATGAGTAATCATTCAGAAGTAGTTTGTCTCGCCTTCTTTCTATTCTGTCTTAGTCTGGAACTCTGCTGAAACCTGTCCACCTTGGGTGACCCTGCTGGTGTTTAAAATATCAGTGGCATAGCTTCCAGCATCACAGCAACACACAAGTCACCACAATACAATAAAATGATACAGATGAGTGGTGATGTTAGAGAAGAATAGTAAAAGGATCATGGACTGCCAGAAAAACAAGCAAATCTATTTTGGAAGAAGCACAGCCAGATTGCTTCTTAGAAGTCAGGATGGAGAGACTGTCTCTCATGCTTCAGACATGTGATCAGGAAGGACCAGTCCCTGGAAAAGGACATCATGCTTGGTAAACTGGAGGGTTAACAAAAAAGAGGAAGACCCCCTGCAATGAGATGGGTTGACAGGGTAGCAGCAGCATTTGGCTCAAGGCTAATAGAAATTGTGGAGATGATGCAGACTAGACAGTATTTCGTTTTGTTGTACATAGGGTTGCTATGAGTCACAACCGACTTGACAACACCACCAACAATAACAACAGCTTCCTCTGCTTTATGAGAGAATGGACAGCCCATACTGGATCTTCCTCAAATTTTCTCGCTGAGTGGCTTATGCTGGCACCATGTCCTCATCCTTCCTGGGAGGTGAAGAGCCACAGCTTTTCTTATGAAATGTAAACCTATGTAGGAGTTGGTGTCAAATGAAGAAAATGGACATTAAGCCATCTAAAAGTGATATGCTTCACATTGCCAGTGTGAAAATGGCCAAAGGAAGTGAGAATGGCTGTACTTAATGGAGGATTAATTGTTTAAAATGCAAAATGAACATTCACCTGGACAACAGCCTGCAAAATACCAGCAGCCAATGCTGCTGCCCAGCAACTCTGGACCCGGTCGAATCTGAGTAGCCTGTTCCCACCCCGAGAGCCTCCATCTTGGCCTCTACATAGCCCAGGTTTTCACCCACCCTGTCCTCCAGTTTTCAGTCTCCAAGGAAAGGCCACCAGAGTGGTAATGGAATCTCAATCTGCTAGGTTCATGCGAGGTTGAGTACAGCGTATCCAGAAAGAAGAGGGAGCTGGACCACATTCTATAGTCAAGCCTCAGAGGGTTAAAGAGAGCATAGCTTTTTTGAAGAATCTGGCATATTGTGTGTCTGACATTTAATGAATTAAAAATAGATTATAACATATGTGGCAGTCAGCATAATGTCACCTTACTCAAATATGTCAACACAGACAATTGTGG